CACCAGTCACTCCTTGTCCAGCATTTCTGACTATCTCCTAGTCAGGACCTTCCACAGAAGAACGGGATGCTGGTTCTCCTTAGGTGAAAGATAACTTGGGGTTCTTTGCCCCGATTTTTATAGTCCGGTGAACCTTTGAAATGGATTCTTCTGAAAGTTACTGCCCAAAAATAAAGCTAATTCAACATGTGAGGAAGGCAATATGGAGTCTGGTGATGAAGGAAGTTCCTTGTTGGTTTCTTCCACTACTGGTGTTTGTTAAAATGCAAACTGATTTGTTCCTGCCCTCTCTGATGCAAATGGATGGCCACATGACATGTGACTGCTAATCGGTTCTGATTACACCTGGCTTGAGGTCCTGGCTTGTCTTTTTCTGGAAGAAACTTGTTTACTCATGCTGCAGACTGGCCTGGTAAATATATTTTAGTTCCACATTTCCTTCATATTTGTGTGCTCCCTTGGGTGTTAACCGTACATACATCATTCAAGAATATTAATGATCACTGTGTTAGTTTTCCAATGATACCTTACATAACACATATCAGATACAGTTTATGACATTAGTGAAGTGGGGTATGTTGATCTGGTTATGCCAGCTGAAACTCACTACCCAATAGCAGGGAGCCCCTTGCCCTCTTCCGTTCACATGCTATTAGCAGGGGTGGGAAAACTATGGCCTGCGGGCCTGTCCTGCCCGGCCCCTGAGCTCACAGCTAGGGAGGCTAGCCCCCGGCCCCTCCCCCACTGTCTCCCCTCCCCCGCAGATACGCTGCTGTGCCGGCAGCATGGCTTGTGCCCGCCCACTTCCCAGGCTTTCAAATAAGCCTGTCCTGACGCTCTGAGTGGCATGGTAAGGGGATGGGGGGAGGGCAGGAGGTCCCGGGGGCAGTCAGGGAACAGGGGGCGGTTGGATGGGGTGGAGGTTCCGGGTGGGGAGCGGTCAGGAGACAGGGAGCAGGGGGGTTGGATAGGGGGTGAGGTCCCAGGGTTCGGTGGGGACAGGGAGTGGGGGAGGGTTGGATAGGGTGTGGGGTCCTGGGGGGGCAGTTAGGGATGGGGATCCTGAAAGGGGGTGGCGGTCAGGGGACAAGGAATGTGTGTGTGTGTGGGCGGGTTGGATGGATCCGGGGTTCCGGGGGGCCTGTCAGAGGGCGGGGATGTGGATATGGGTCGGGGCAGTCGGGGACAGGGAGAAGGGGGGGTTGGATAGGGTGTGGGATCCCGGGGAGGCAGTTAGGAGCATGGCATCCCAGGAGGGGGCGGTAAGGGGACAAGGAGTGTGTGTGGGGGGGTTGGATGGGTCTGGGATCCTGGGGGCCTGTCAGGGGGCAGAGGGTGTGGATAGGGGTTGGGGCAGTCAGGGGACTAGAAGCAGGGGTGATTGAATGGTTCAGGAGTTCTGAGGGGGGCAGTCAGGGGGCGGGAAGTGGGAGGGGGTGGATAGGGGATGGGGGCCACGCTGTTTGAGGAGGCGCAGCCTTCCCTACCAGGCCATCCATACTGTTTCACAATCCTGATGTGTCCCTCGGGCCAAAAAGTTTGCCCACCCCTGCTATTAGGGTCACATCTCACTCCTCAAGTCCCTTTGAAGCTTTCCCTTATAGTGTCCCAGCCCCTTATCTGCTGAACACTCACAGAAATACGAGATAAACTGTCTCCATGGGAACAGTGTATATGCCAACTTGTATGATTCAACTCAGAATCAGCACCTTGCTTAATATGACAACACTTAGATATATTTATCATGAAAACAAGGATAAGTTTAATAACAAAGATTCAAGAGATGATGAGCAATGATAATACAACCAATGATTACATATAAAACAAAATCATAACACATTTTATAGAGACAACAGGCTAACCTCCTGCTTAAAGAAATCGTATCTCACCCAGTCTTCTTTTCTAGCCAAGGCTGGTTATGATCTGGTTTTCATGACTGTAAACGCACTGTCAGTTTAGCTCCTAAGTGCAGGATGACGGAGTGTTACCCAAACGTAGTCCAGGAAACCTCTGAAGTGTATCTCCAGATGAGGTTCTCTTCCACCACAGTGTTTCTATACCTGTTAGTTCCTTTCTGAAATTCTTACAATCCATCATCTGTATTGATCTTAGATGTGTGGTCCATTATGAATGAAACAATACTTAATTTACATTTCAATAGAGTGACCAGAGAATAAACATTGGGTGTCTGACAAAAAACCTGTTTGTCAACTCTGCCTTGATACAGATTTTAGAGTAGAGTTTCAGTATATATGCCTAACTCCTTACATACTATCTGTACATACATTTCACAACAATATTAATGACATTCTTTGGTGAACCAGAATGTACATACCAGAAATAGGACATTCCTGTAACCCCCTTGCCAGTTGTCATTAAGGGGTTCTTGAGTCACATTGCCATGTTCCATTACAATCTTCTCATGTCTATTTCAATATCCTCTGTTGACCAACCGTCTTGCATCATTAGTGCTTTAGTGGTTTTTACCTCCCATTGGATATCTGTGTTTTGGCTGATTTTTCCCTCAGAATTATTTGTTTGCATGTTTTCAGGCTAAACTGCATTTTCTTGATAATGTGACAGGATTCAGAGGGGAGATCTTCTGTATTCACAGTGCTCTGGAAAGTTGATCCAGGAAAGAAAGCCCACTGTCCATGAATCTACTGCAGGGGTTTATCCAGGAGAAGCAGTTATCCTGCCTCCTAAAATTACAGAAACCATATGACTTGCTGATCTTTCCTAAGGCCCACTTATCGAATACCAAACACAGTGCATAAATATTAACATTAAACATGATTGACTAAGCAGAGATCATCTCAGTAAGAAATGTTTTGACTGCTTTTCCAACTTGCAACCCTGCCGACATCTAAATCTAAAAAGTAATTTTAAAAATATGAATTAGTGAGGTTCCATGCTTGTAGCCTTTGAAAGACTTTGGATCAAATTTACTCAGTTTCCAAATAAAAGGATGGTTGTAACTGCCAGCCTTTAAAACTCCAACTGGGAATTGCAAATGAAGGTGTGTTCTTCCTGGTTCTTGCGTTATCTCCTATAATTAAGTCTTGATAGGCCAAAACCTGCTCTCAGTTACACCTGTGCTCCTGATTTGTCATTAATGAAAAAACACAAGACAAAATGAAGACAGAAACCAATCCCATAACTGGAACTTAAACATTCATCCTGCTAGTGATGCATGGGCCACAGAGGAATCCATCTCCGTTCTCAGTAGCCAAATAGATTCTACAGGGCTAACCAGTAAGTGTAATTGGATGCTGTTTACAATTCTAACAGATAAGTGGGAATGTACAATAATGCATGTAACTAACATGTCTTAGGCTGCAGCCTTAGATAAGTAGAAAAATGACAATAGAGAAATCAGGGTTTTACCTATAAAATAGGTTTCTTTTTTTCTTTAAGGACTACAAATGATCCTAAGCTGCAAAATTTGCATCTGCATTTCAAACTCCAGCAAGTTGTGGAAGTTCAGATGAGGATTTTTGATTCTTACCCAACTCTAGTTGGGACAGATTTCATTTTATTTCTGGGAAAAATAAATTTGGTTTTAATTTGTTTAAATATATACTGTATTATACTGAAATAGTTATAGAAGAAAAGAAGTAAAATAAAACCACAAAAGCTAAACAGCCAAATACCCAAATATGAAATACAAAGTAGTATACCTTCAGAATACTAAAGATGATAGAAAATGTTGCAAAGTCTATGTAAGTCCTTACTTATATGATACAATTATTTATTTTTAGATCTGTTTATAGTAACTGACAAATAATAAATATAAGACCATGCAGCCATATACAATGTATACTGTCCAAGCAATGCTGTCTCTGCACTGTCTGCCACCTTAGCTCCACTCACTGCCTTAAAGCCCTCGGTTGGCTTGAAGCTGCTTTTGTGCTGAATCTTTGGAGAAGCTATAAGAGACCTATAGAAGTGGGGGAGGAGGGGAGAGAATTGGCTACAACACATCAAGCTACTCACAACTACCAGAGGCAGTCTGAAGTTGGGACTGTTACTAAGACATCCTGGGGAGAGTCTTACTAATATTGTTAATTTATAAATTGTCTGTCTCAAGTTTATTCTGTTGTCCCCCATATCTCTTCTCTTATCCCTACACCCCAAATAAAGTTCTTTGTTTCAACCCCCTTGACTCAATACTTGAGAATTGGTGGTATTGCCTATCGGGGTGCTCAGGGTGGTACATATAGTTTCCCAGGTGTCTTTAATACCATCTAAAAGATGGTCAAACAAGTGGAGATTTCCCTGTAAAAGTTATCTTCTGCTAGGGAACAGGGAACAAAAATTATTAAAATAAAAACCTTACTTAATACTTTACATTGCAAATATTTTAGTTGTTTTTTCTTCTTTTCTTTATCTTTAATTAAAGGTTAAAAGAATTGTTAATGGTGTGGTTGCCATGGTACTAAGCAGACTGAAGTCTCGCCACGAACCTTGTTTAATGCTGTTTAATGTTGGACAGTGACTGGGTTATAGTAACATGCTTGTCACATTTATTCCATCTAAATTAATACAACAGCTCCCCCCTTTCTAGTGCTTCAGCCACAGGGTTTACACGACAAGGTTTTTCAAACAACGTTAAGAAGATACCATAGGATTTTTGCCAGGGGACTAATCTTCTATTACCCAAGGAGCCAGATTTGATCGTGAAATATACTCTAATTATATCAATGCATTTCACAGATATAAAGATAGAAGGGGAAAATCAGCCCTGCTATAGCTCTGTTTTCCCCAGAAGTTGTATGATTTCCACTGTCTCCTCATTGGCTGTCAAGTAGGTGTCTGAGTCTCCTAGGTAAATAGGGAAACTTAACAAAAACAAGAGTGTGGTGCTCTATCATTACACACTCCTGGTCTCTGCTGGGATGTTCCAGTCCATCGCTGGAGACCAGAGAGACCAGGGTGAGTGTGTGAGTAGAGGGTCTCACACCACTTCTAGTTTGATGACCTTTAGAAGCTGTGTAAAGTGTACACAGGGTGGCCACTCACACATCTTTAAAATACCGGACATCCAGGTACTTCCAGGAACAGCACTGGCCCACCCCCATCTGGCATGACCTTGCATTCATGGTGTGTGATGTCACACCGATAGGTTGGAGTGGTAAACTCTTCAAAATGGCATTCTCTGTGCCTAACACCAGACAAAACCACATCTGGTTTTATATCAATACTGGACAGGAGACAAACCTTAAAAAAAAAAACAGGACCATCAAGTTTAAAATTGGACTAATGGCCTGGCTAAATGTACAGCACCTCACATTTCCTGAGTTCTGCTTACAAGGAGAGGAGCAGGGGGGACATGGCTGGCAGCAACAGCAGAGCTGGGCCTGAATCAGGACTTTATGACCCCAGCTGTTGGGGAGCCCCAATAGTGTGTCTGAAACAGATTCCCTGCAGAGAGAGAATTTATCCTGTGTGACAGGGTCGGACCAGATGGCTATAGGAGAGTAATAGAAGGCAGATATATTAGCCCCAGGCTAAGTAGGTCCCTTTTCCCTGGGTAAGGTAACAAGGTAATTGTCTTCTGGAGACAATTAAGACAGGCTGATTAGAACACCTGCAGCCAATCAAGAAGCTGCTAGAATCAATTAAGGAAGGCTAATCAGGGCACCTGGGTTTTAAAAAGGAGCTCACTTCAGTTTGTGGTGCGCATGTGAGGAGCTGGGAGCAAGAGGCACAAGGAGCTGAGAGTGAGAACGCGGACTGTTGGAGGACTGAGGTGTACAAGCATTATCAGACACCAGGAGGAAGGTCCTGTGGTGAGGATAAAGGTGTTGGGAGGAGGCCATGGGAAAGTAGCCCAGGGAGTTGTAGCTGTCGCACAGCTGTTCCAGGAGGCACTCTAGACAGCTGCATTCCACAGGGCCCTGGGCTGGAACCCGGAGTAGAGGGCGGGCCTGGGTTCCCCCCAAATCCTCCCAACTCCTGGTCAGACATAGGAGGAGTCGACCTGGACTGTGAATTCAGAAAAACGGCCAAGCTGAGGCTGCCGTGAAGCTCCAAGGTGAGCAAATCCGACAGTAAGCGCAAGACCCACCAAGGTAGAGCAGGAACTTTGTCACAACCTGAAAAACATAAGGCACCTCCTCCAGCCTAGGGGAAAGTGTAACATTAACATAGTTAATATGTCTTTTTTCAGTACATTTCCTGTCTCCCTATCCCACCTCTAGCCACTGATGTCTGGACTCTTTGCTACACACTTTATAGTGGATGCTGGAGTCCCTGATAGGAGACTGTTAGACTAGCAGTGAGCTCCTGACAGGATATTTTTGAGCAAACCACTGACAGTCAAACACAACCCAGTGCAAATTCTGAGAAACTTGTTGGTTCATTTCAAGCAGTTCACACAGTCCTGATGCTACCCCATAAACTTTGCCTTTTTCTGTTCCCCTCCCAGCTTGTTGAGTATTGGCCTTCCCTTTGTTCTCCCATCCAGTCTTGATATGCTTAGTGGAAAAGCTCTCTGCAGCTCTTTCTTTTTGGTGCAGTCTTCACTATCTCTCGAGTTCACTTACTTTCTCTTTTCACTTCTTGACTGAAAACATCTCTTTCTCCATTACCTATGCCTCTTAATTTATTTCACTCTGCCGATACCTATTTTTTTTAAATTGTATTACCATGTTTAATTCTGAAAAATGTTTTAGGAAAGAGTTTGTATGAAAGTGAGCACAAAATGAAGTTATGTGTCTTTGTTGTGCACAGCCAGTGTGCCCACCTCAGAATTGTTTACCTCCTCAATATCTTTGAAGTTGGTGTGGCAAAAATAAAACATCACAAGCTAAATTTGCTACTGTCCAAGATTATTTGAATAAGTCACCTCTATATTGCTGCGGCTGACATCAAAGCTATTCAATTTAGGAAAAAACCTAAAGTACAAACGACAGCATCTGACTGCTAATTTACTTTTAGGTGATCCAAGACTTGCAGCAAAATGTATCTTTTTTATCTTATCTGTCAGTGTTTATGGAAAACATCCATAGAGCGGCAAGCCATAACCAGTAAGATATGGAAACATTTCAAACTCTACTGTATGGAGGATCACAGAAGAAACTTGAATGCCTCATAACATTTCTGTAGTCCAAAGTATTGGACATTTCTGTAAAAGGGTGACTGCTTTTAGGAAAAAAAGATTACAAAACCAATGAAATGCTATTACAAAAATCTATACAATATACTTGTGAAAGTGCACCTCATTACTAAGTAAGACAGATAATTCTTCAGTGAAAAAAAAAAGACTGCAGTGCAGGCTGTGAAGATATATAGATTGCACAGACCAAAGGGAAATTTTATGTGAGATGAATCCTTTGCACAAATAGAGTCTGTGCTTTGCTCTTTTTCTCATGAAGGTTTCTGTTATAAGGAGGTATTGATGCAATTATATGTGTGAAGCTGATTTTTAAATGCTGAATTTTGTACATTATGTGGAACATTAATCCCACCTTGTTTTGATTGCTTGAAGAGAGCAATGCTGTTTTTACCAGAAAGTGGTTTATTTGGGACAGTCTACTTGAAAGAATGTGTTTCACTGGGTTTGGGAGGAATTAATGAAAGGACCATAAAGGTGGTTTAACAAATAGGGTATTTCAATCTTTCAAATGTAGAAGAAAATAAAGTCTATAGCTTATTTTGGAAGACATAAAAGTAGTTCCACTGCTTTCTGTATTCTTGGGGTAAATATTCAGCACAAAACATTAAAATATACTTGTGAGATTGCTATTAAGACTTAGTTGGATAAACTTGATTGAAAGTTCAACTTTTCCATGTCATTAAAATTTTCTAAAAATGCACAACAATGAATACATGATACATTTAGAGAGCAAAGGAAAAAAACTTGCACACATTACTGAGATTACCCGAGTTGGATGTGGATGTTGCAGCTGAAACATTGAATATCATACACATTTTGTTTGTTTGTTCACTACAGTTGAGATATTGAATTTTGCATGAAACACCACTCCTATGGAACACTGACTCAATGTAGCATTTAGCATTTTCTCAAAGTTCTGAAATAACCAAATACAATGCCTTTGGAAAACTATCTTTATTCAACGTAATAAAGCCATTTTTTAGGAATCTTCTTGAATAAGAAGTAAGTTAGTCCAAAGATGCCAGATACATACACCCTTCATTAAGAATCGTGTACACAAACTAATAACGTCCAGTGTAAAAATCCCCTCCCCAAAAAAGTTTATTTGGGGGGGTTAATTATTTCTTGAATTGTTTCTCCTGGATTTAGGCCATACATTAACACTCCTTCCTTTATGCCTGCCCACGCCATCCGCTTGGTGGTGAATCGTGCTGTCCATTCTCCAGTTTTGCTGACAATTATAACTCCTCCCCGACCATGGACTCTCTTTTCCATATAGTGAAGAGAAGAATCTGCAGCTTCCTCTGGAGTTTTACCTAGTGTCAGGAGCACATCTGATTAGCTATTTATACACGGAGTAGAAAAATATAAAGACAGTTAGTAGTATACTTTAAACGTTGACATTATTTGTTAGCTTTCCTTTTACCTTCAAGAATAAAAGTAACACATTGAATAAGCTAAATGAAAATACAGTGCACAAAAAAGAATAATTTCATCCATTTGCTAGAAATGGATTTTGATGGTGTTCATTTTTCAGTTGGTCTGCAACAACTCAGAAGGGTAAAATGCTTATCAATCAGATTTCTGCAAAGTTCATCTTATGTACATGAAAGTCATAACTATAAAGGGAAGGGTAACCACCTTTCTGTATACAGTGCTATAAAATCCCTCCTGGCCAGAGGCAAAGTCCTTTCACCTGTAAAGGGTTAAGAAGCTCAGGTAACCTTTCTGGCACCTGACCCAAAATGACCAATGAGGGGACAAGATACTTTCAAATCTGGAGGTGAGGGGAAAAGGCTTTTGTCTGTCTGTGTGATACCTTTGCTGGGAACAGATCAAGGATGCAAGCCCTCCAACTCCTGTAAAGTTAGTAAGTAATCTAGATAGAAACTGTGTTAGGTTTTCTTTGTTTTGGCTTTTCAATTCGCTGTGCTGGAGGGAATGTGTGTCCCTGTTTTTGTGTCTTTTTGTAACTTAAGGTTTTGCCTAGAGGGATTCTATATGTTTTGAATTTGACTGCCTGTAAGATTATCTTCCATTCTGATATTACAGAGTTGTTCTCTTATTTTTTTTTGTTCTTCTAGTAAAGTTCTGTTTTTTAAGAATCTGATTGGGTTTTTTGGGTCTTAAAAATCCAAGGCTAGTCTGTGCTCATCTTGTTTATTCTCAAGCCTCCCCAGGAAAGGGGGTGTAAGGGCTTGGGGGGATATTTTGGGGAAATAGGAACTCCAAGTGGTCCTTTCCCTGTTCTTTGTCTAAATCACTTGGTGGCAGCATACTGTTCAAAGACAAGGCGAAATTTGTGCCTTGAGAAAGTTTTTAGCCTAAGCTGGTAGAAATAAGCTTAGGGGGGTTTTCAAGCGGGTCCCCACATCTGTAACCTAGAGTTCAGAGTGGGGAGGGAACCCTGACAATGATGTAGAAAAAATATTTTGCTCAAACCTCCATTTTACTTCCAGTTTGTTTTTTCTTTCCAACCCACGGTATGGGACCACCCTTCTGCAATTGTTTCACACTCCCACTGAACTCAGTGAGAGCTCATCATGAGTGAATGCATGCTCAAATACATAAGATTGTACATTATTTGGGGCAAGGACTGTCTTTTATCTAAGCTTGCAAAGGACTCAGCATGTTGTAGCTAGTACTGCAAACATAATAATTAGTAATCAAATTCTTGATGTGTAACATAATTAGGTAGCTTCAGGGCAAATCTACAGCACCACCATATACAAAGCATAGGGAATTTTAGTGGGTACCCAATTTTGTCTCACTTCCCTTGCTTTTGATCTATGCTAAGCTGCTCAGAAAAGTATAAACTCTTCAGAAAGCCTCAATTCTCCTTCTGCTTTATTGAAACAAGGGGCAAAATTGTTAGGAACAGGCCCCTCTCGTACATGCATCACACTCATAGTACAACTTAGAGGTAGCAAACAGTGTCTAGGGCAAATCAAGGAGATATGAACTGCATAAAATATCCCAAACAGGCCAAATATCAGCTTCATTTGAGGAGTGAAAATTGTTCTAATTGCTGTCCAAACATATTTGGCTCTGAATCCTGCCGGCAATACTGGAATCCCCGAGCCTATCAACTGCTTTACCCTAACAAGCCCTGGATACCTTATCTGAACAGATTTTCTGGAAGAGGATAGGAAGTGCTTACTAGATTGCAGTGCCCCTGCTATCATTTGGAGTCAGGTGCTACCCTACCCCATTTTCCTGGATCTTTGCATGTTGAAATTTTGGGTAGCGATGTCAATAGTAAAGCTACTTCTTTAACCCCAAGGTATCAGAGATCTCTTCTGGGGAGCAGGAGGCTGCACACCCTTTATTTAGACAATCAGAATGACTTGCAAAGCTGCCAAGAAGATTTTAGCTCCCAGCTAAGAAAAGCAGAGGAGGATTTCAGTGCACTTTGAGCCTCACAGAGTCAGTGGGGTTTCAGCAGCAGCATGACGATAACGTGCTCTGGATGGGCAGCCACCTCCCACCATCCAGAAGAGACATGTTGAAAGCTGGGAGGTAGTGACCTTACCATGCAGCCCACTCAAAGATTCAAGATAGGGTGAGCAAACATTGAGACTTCTGATCCTGAGAGATGGGGTTAGCAGAGAACCAGCCAGTCCAAGCACAGCGCAGCTGAGAAGGAGTTGGGGGATATTTAATATACTGGGTAGTATACCCCTCCCCAGAAGACTTCAAAAGGAAGAGACACCATTGAGGACTTTATGGGGTGGGGTGTTGGAGTCTCGGAGTCTCCACAGCTGATAGGAGAAATATATCTAGGACAGTATGTGTTTCTCACCAGTTGGAAAGCTGAAACATTGAATGATGCAATTGAAGTGGGGAATCAGTGCTTTTAGACCTCTAATTTTGTTCCCTTACTATAGCATCCATCTGCTTTATATGTGTCTTAGGGTCTTTTTTAAAAAAACTGTTCAAGTGAGCTGTAGCTCATGAAAGCTCATGCTCAAATAAATTGGTTAGTCTCTAAGGTGCCACAAGTACTCCTTTTCTTTTTGCGAATACAGACTAACACAGCTGTTACTCTGAAACCTGAAGTATGTCAATGGTGAGAGAATAATTACCGTAACTCCCACTCCTACCCAACCATGCTGAAGACATTCACAGAGGCATCTCTCATAATGTTCACTAGAGGCTTAGTGTTCTCCGACTGATTTTTGAATGTTATAATTCTTGACGTCTGATTTGTGTCCATTTATTCTTTTACATAGAGACTGTCCAGTTTGGCCAATGTACATGGCAGGGGGCACTGCTGGCACATGATGGCATATATCACATTGGTAGATGTGCAGGTGAACGAGCCTCTGATAGTGTGGCTGATGTGATTAGGCCCTATGATGGTGTCCCATGAATAGATATGTGGACAAAAACCAGTCGGAGAACACTTCAGTCCCTCTTGTCACTCAATTACAGACCTAAAAGTCGCAATATTACAACAAAAAAACTTCAAAAACAGACTCCAACAAGAGACTGCTGAATTGGAATTAATTTGCAAACTGGACACCATTATATTAGGCTTGAATAAAGACTGGGAGTGGATGTGTCATTACACAAAGTAAAACTATTTCCCCATATTTATTTTTCCCCCCTACTGTTCCTCATATGTTCTTGTCAACTGCTGGAAATGGCCCATCTTGATTATCACTACAAAAGGTTTTTTTTCTCTCCTGCTGGTAATAGCTCACCTTAACTGATCACTCTTGTTATAGTCTGTATGGTAACACCCATTGTTTCATGTTCTCTGTGTCTATAAAATCTTCCTACTGCAGTTTCCACTGCATGCATCAGATGAAGTGGGCTGAAGCCCATGAAAGCTTATGCTCAAATAAAGTTGTTAGCCTCTAAGGTGCCACAAGTACTCCTGTTCTTTTTGCAGATACAGACTAACACGACTGCTGCTCTGAAACTTTATTTAGAGTATGCTTTATAAATGTTCCCCACAGCATAAGGCTTTCCCCAAGTCTTTGCCAACTACCAAGGCACTGGACAGAAAAGGGTAGGCCTCACAGCTCTCTGTAATCTTGAACTCCTCTCTTCACTCCCCTCTCCCCACCTACTCCTGCCTCTCTTTTAACTATTTCCAGCTAACAAGCTGAACCACCCAGCTAATTAATCATTGAGTACTTGAACTATTACCTCATCAATTTGCCCCACGTGGGGACACTTCCACAGTGCACAGAGTGGTGCACTGAGGGTCTCTCACTCTGCCACAATGACCCTTTCCCTCAATTCAGCATTTCTGTGTCTGTTATGTACAGCTCTGATGTAAATAAACCATATCACTGGGGTATTAAAAGATTTCACTCACTCTATCCGGAATGTTTAAAAGAAGATTAAAAACTGCAGATACCCAGGTTCCTTTCACTCTCCTGCCTCCTAACAAAATACAGTGTCCGGAGTCTGGTACAGAATTACTTATTGTAATTTTAATCATATTTACTCAGATCATTATCTACCTCCTAACAAACTGTTGAAAAAGAACCAAGGTCAAAAGGCAAAAAGCCCCAGCAGAGTGACAATTTTATTAAATTAGTTATTTACATACAAGAGGTCCAGGAAATTCCACAAGGACCAGCTCATGGAGTTTCTGACCAATCTCCGTCTCCAGAAACTAAGGGGCAGGGAGTACAATCTACTTATCCCACGGATCTTTGGTATCATCAAGGAAAGAAACTGCCACTCTCCTGGATTTCCCTCTGAGCAGATACTGTGTCTCTCAGTTTCTTGACATAGTAACCCCACATATGGCTGAGTCTATGATTCCATGAAATCCACTAGAGCAATGGATTGTTTAGTTAAAACAAATGGAACTTTCTAAAAAAAAAAAAAAAAATTAGTCAGTACACTGTAGCAGTCACTTTTTTTCGATCCAGAAATTTAAATGCCATAGTAGAGTACAGATGTATTTGCCCCAGCTGCTACTACATGGCTAGGTTACCACAAAACCCAAAATTGCTGAATTTTATTGTAAGGAATAAATCGATGATTCATGTGTGTAAATCCCTTGCACAGCTCTAAAGATGCACCCACAAGTATTCTTGAATTTGTAGCAAGGAATATTTTATTTTACATTCTCAATCTCTTGCATGATTTATGATATTCTTCAGAGCTGAAGCACAGATTACCAGTCTCCTGGCATACTCATCTCTTAGAAGGCAGCATCCTGCACATATAAATGCTGGTAAGCCAGCTGTCAGTTTTTACAATGTGCAGGTCTGATGCAATTTGAAATTCACAGAATCATTAATTGAAAATCTGGGTTATGGAGATTAGTTGTACCCTAGATGGCACAAAA